ACCTGAAATGACCCGAATGATCCAAATGACAAATAACTAGTCATTTGTCATTTAAAGGCCCAAATGACCTTAGAAGGCATTTAACATATGTTAGTTTATATTCTAACATATTTTAACCAATCAGAATTGGCCACCAAGCAAAATTAAATTTTATAAAAATATAATCAATATCGCAGCTATATATCAAAAATCAAAATATTACTAAATCAAGTAATATATATGCCTTAAGTAAAGTTGTTCGGATAATAAATTGTGTATGTTCTGGAAATCTTTATATAAATTAGGCAACTTTTTACTAATTCACTTCCGCACCTTACATTTATATAAAAAATTTAAATTTTTCGTGTAAACGTAATATGCGAAAGTAAATTAGTAAAAGTATTCTATTTACATAATACATGTGATTTTAATTTTAATATATAGCTACGATTATTGATTAGAAAAGTAATAAAGTTTGATAACTTTTTATATAAGTAATCCAACAAATAAAATTAATTTATATGCAAATGACCTAAATGACCTGGTCATTATTTGATGACTTGGGTCATTTAAATTTTGATCAAATGACCAGGTCATTTTCCATTCCCTGATATAAAGTACGGGAATTAAAAATTAGAGCGACACGTAGAAATTAAGATAATGCATGCGATTTGCAAAAAAAAAAAAAAAAAAAGACTTTAATTAAAAAGAAAAAGATAAGCTACCTATAACCCGTGACTACCATGACATGAAAAAATAACTATGTCAACAATCACTCTAACCCAAATTCTACGTGTTTTGCTAACTACACATACTGTGAATCAACATTTAACATATTTTTCGTACGTCCGTCTGAATTTGCACTACCTTATACATAGAGAGATTTACTTTATTTTTATTTTTATAAAAAAAAAATAATACAAACGAAAAATGCAAATGAGAAAAAATATAAAAAAAATCGTATAATGAGGATTTATATAATATTGTATAATGATATTATATAATATTGTATAATGATAATTTATATTGCATAGGTTGTCAGCTCAAATAAAATATAGTCGGAGATCATGTGCTGTATTTTCCAATTACCAGTTACGCTGGATTTGTTAGCATTGCCCAATTTAAATTTCTCGGTACGGATTCTGGAATTCTAATTTAAAAAAACAATCGCCCAAACGGCGGACAACAAAATCCAGACAATATCCTATAAAGTCAAATGCTTTCATAAACATAAATGCGATAAACCAAAATATTGCTATAAATATATTTATGATAACTTTAAATGTTCCTATAAATGTATATATGATAAGTTTAAATGTTGCCACGGTAAATTTAAATATTTTCTTAGATAATTTCTTAATAAATGCAACTGTTCTTATATTAAATCTTTCAATAAAGTTACTTATACCATTAAATGTTAAATTAAATGAGAATTTCTTATGAATAATTTGAAACACTTCATATTCTTCTATTCCAAATGTTTCTTTGTCAATGATTCCTTTTTCATAAGAGTGTTTTTTACTTGTACCAACGACAGATCTTTGTGAATTATAAGTATTTTCTTCTATCCATAAATCTTTGAAACCAAAACATGGTCCTCTACTCGTACACCAGGTGATTGCTTCTTTTTGAGAAGAAACACAGCTTACTCTGGGAATTGCACCATTAGATAATGAAAAAAGTGAAAATACAAAACTTTTTGATGTTGGTTTGAACTCATGATTATAATAATCATCATTTTCACTCCAATCTAACGGATTATATCCACCAATTATTTCATTTGAATTTCGGACTTTAATAATAACAACAGTTGGTCCCACATAATCACAGTTCTTATGAAACGTATCAACACTAAAATTTTCACGGCTAGCTCGATAAATAAGTTTAAATTCGAAAGGCATGTCATTAAAACGATAAGGCATTCCTTGTTTCTTATCAATCCAACTTGCTATTAATGCAGCGTCTTTAGCCTCGATGATATTAGAATCAAAAGAATAAGCTAATTCTCTTTTTGGTAAATTAGATTTAGGCTTAGGATCAGATAAAGCTTGAAACCCTTTTTCAATAAGACCATCTGGTAAAATATTTTTATATTTAGTTGTAATTAAGCGAAGTTCATCAAATGATAACTGAAAAAATCTAATATGAGGAATACAATTATGTAAAACTTTCTCAAGTTCTATGAAATCAGATTGTGTCCATTCATTCAAGTCATCATCTAAAATAGATTCGGTATTTTCAATTCCCCATTTAATTAAATATTCCCAAATTTCAATTTCTTCTAATCTAAGTCTATCAGATTTCAAAAGTTTAATTAGATCATCTTCCTCTATTTTTGAAAAATCGTCCGAATCAAAAATAACTTTGGGATTTCTGCATACAAGTTCTAATGCAGTTTGATATAATTCTGTGAAAGTATTATGTTTACATATTGTAATAAAGTCTCGGGGAAATTTCCAAGCTGATTCAGTTTCAAGCAAGCGCTTTTCAACCTTTTGTTTAACTTCATTTAATTGAATCTCATCAGCTGCAATAAAAATATCGAGAAGGTCAACATTATTGTTATCTGAAAATTCTCCAGTATAAATATAACTATTTATTTTATAGAGAATAAACATTTCAAGTTAATGGCATGAAAATTCATGAAAATTAATATGAACTTTTTTTTATATACGTGGAAGGAAAACATCACTAGAGATGTACCTCTCGTGAGATAAATTTAGTACACATTTCGCATATCTCTCACGAGACTCTATTGCACATGTTATAAGAATTTATTTTTGAATATATGCTAAAATTTTATTTTTTTTAATCGAATAATTTATATCACAAAAATCGTGGGTACGAGGTACAACTCTGGACATCACTTTAGTTTATAGACAATTAAATTAACATATTTTAAAAATATAAACTTACTTTAGAAGAATTTCAAACACTGATGGTGAAATATTAGGTTTATTGAAAATGATAACTTCATTTTCTTTCTTTACCCATCGTGATGACAATGCGGTTTTAAAATAAGCAGATCTTGTTGATAGGATAATAGAATGAGCCTTAAATTCTTTGCTATTTGGTTCTTCACCAACTTTAATTTTTGTATCAAAGTCTTGAGAACTTTCAAGCAAATTTGAAAAATCTTTAATGAGAGATCCCTTTTCCATACTTGATTTACAAATTAAAGTTATCAATAAATGCAAAAGGTTTGTCTTTTTATAATATTTTGGACCTAAAGTTTATTGAACGTTTATAATTGTGACAAAACATATTTATATCATTAATTAATCCGGTTTTTGTTATTATTAATAGTCATTTTATGTAGTTGTGCACAATTACGCAAAGTAGAATTGTTAAATGAGTATCGCCATTTGTGCAACAAAATTTGGGCTTTCAAAAATTCTTTATAAATCCATTGAAACACTCCTTTTTTGGCCCTATGTATAATATCACAATCCGTTGAGAATGCGGAATAAAAATCCCGGGATATTATGAAACATTTAAATACTCTGGTACTGTACTATTGTTAATATTTAAATAATGTGTAAGTTCACACCATACAGCGTGGACCATAGTACCCGGTGTAACAAATAAGGTAGATCAATTTTTTAAAATACTATTTATGCGTGATGCATCACACCGGGTACTATGGTCCGCGCTGTACGGTATAATGAGTACTTAATTCCGAAAAATTCGGTGAGCGGAAACAAAGTTTCCGTTAATTTCCAACGGATAGAATATTACTATATCATTACTAATTTTTAAACCTACATTCTTGTTGTCAATATTTAGATACACAGGTTTTCTTTTGGTGAAACTCAGATAAAGTAGCATACTCCGATTGCTTTTTTTGTATTCTTGCGTGTCATGTTGCTCATATTAATGGTATATCAACATTTTTCCACTCACGTTCGGACCCGATTCGAAATCTTTATATTCCCTTTTTTAATTATATCTTTATTTGTTCTTATGCTTATATTTTAACGACTTTTAATACATTGTCAAAAACTTCACCGGATAAAAAAAAAAGAAAGAAAGAAAAAGGAAAGAAAAAAAAGAAATCTCAACTAAACTTGGTGAAACGACTTTACTAAATCACACCACTGGTATCAATACCTTTGTTTTGTATAACATAAAAAATATCAATAAGAAAACAAAATTAGTTAAATATTAAACTAATATTAGTAGTTAGAGCTTAGAGCATAGCATAGCATGTAAAATTCTGCAAGGGATTATTTTATTGGAAGCTAAAAGGTGGTTTTCTAAGTAAAAATTTAAGCTATAAGCATTCTGTTTAAAAAGTAATTAAAAAATAAAATTTATATTACGACCGCCGTGATCTATTAAACAAATTTGATTATTAATAATTATAAAGTGTTACTGGATTACCGTTTTTAACCTCCGTGATCCCAATATTAAAATTTTCATATCAAAATAAGTCCAAACTTCAGCATCAGCCGAGACAATAAGTAAATTCTAGTATGATTTAGCTTTTCAAATGAAGACCCTAAATCACCCTATATCATCCGCGGTAATAAATGAGCGACACTAAAGGAAACAAAACTTAGAGCATTCGAGTTTGTTACTTAAATTTTTGGCAATATATATGATACGTAATTAAATTTTTTACGTATTACACATATCTCTGATCTACATTGAGCGTGGTATATTAATCTTATGCTCTAATTAAAGTTGTTAATGGTTTGGGTTGGGCTTGGTTGATCTAATTTTCAACCACTTTATTAACTTACCATACTCTACCGTAAATAAGCACCATCCCTTCTACCCTTTTTTTCAAATGTAAGATTAGCGGGAATAACTTGGCTAAAAGTCTCATTGCGATTTCTATTAATATGAACTTAAAAAAAATGGGATAAAGGGGATGGCGTTTATTAATTGTATAATACGGTAAACCTTGTTTCAGGTTGCACCACATTTATAATTATATTTTTAATCTTGCTCCAATTTGGGTTTAGTTTAGCCAAAAGTGGCTCCCTTGGCTCCGATATATTCAATATACAAAACCAAATAATTAAAACTAATTAACTTATTTCA